AATGCCTCACTTTCTGCATTCAGATTCATAAAAGAAACTATTATTTGACAGTTCCCAAAGAAAACTACCTTGGGCCAACCAATTCTGTCATTCCTGGACAAAAATGATGACGTTTTATTTATTTCAGTCCTGTTGTAGTGTTGCTTAGGGAAGGAAAAATATTTGGTCACTCAAATGAGCTTTGGTGAGAGGAATTGCAACAACGAGATTTTCCTGATTCTCCTGGCCCTTTCAGTGATGCTGCAAACCACTATATTTTATGATAGTTCTTAGTTAAAATGTCCATTTTCGGAAGATATACTTCAGAATAAGTTTTCAACTTCTGGGCTTTTTTGGGTGCTGTAGTTCTTTCTCCCAAACTGTGGAATATTTGCACAGAATTGTTGGGAGAAGTTGTTTAGAGACCTACCATGTAAAAAACATGTAGGGAAGGTAGGTGAGCCTCCCCTTACCACTCTATAAAGCCTTAGTAAGACCACACCTAGAGTACTGCATCCAGTTTTGGTCACCACATTATGAAAAAGATGTTGAGACTCTAGAAAAAGTGCAGAGAAGAGCAACCAGGATGATTAGGGGACTGGAGACTAAGGCCTATGAAGAACGGTTACAGGAACTGGGCATGGCTCGTCTAGTGAAGAGAAGGACCAGGGGAGACAGGATAGCAGTCTTCCAATATTTGAGGGGCTGCCACAGAGAGGAAGCCAACAATCTTTATTTTCTAAAGTGCCTGTAGGCCAGACAAAGAATAATGGATGGAAACTGAACAAGGAGAGATTTAACCTGGAAATAAGAGAAACTTTCTGTCAATGAGAACAATCAACCAATGGAACAGAAGTTGCCCTCAGAAGTTGTGGGAGCACCATCAGTTGAGACCTTCAAGAAGAGATTGGACTGCCATTTGTCAGAAATGGTGTAGGGTCTCCCGCTTGGGTGGGAGGGGTTGGACTAGATGACCTATAAGGTGCCTTCCAACTCTGATTATCTGTTATCTGTTACCCTTGAAGTTTTTCAAATAAACTGCTCCATTTCTGGAAGAATTTTCCTGAGGAAACTTGACTGCCATCATTTTTATGATTCCTGCGGCACTGACAGAATATATTTTTATTCTGCAACATATATTCATTGGTCACCCTCCTCTCCCTCTAAAATATGATTGGATTGTGCTGTGGCCTTATAATTTTTAGTATTTTATCTCAGCCTTCACCCACCTAAGTTTGTAGGGCTGTATTAGGAAATTCTAAGAAACATGGTCTATCTGTCAAACACAGAGTTGGGAAGGGCTGTTTGACATTGGTACTAAATTCTCAATTTATTTGTGGGCTGCTTTGGGCCTGGATATTGAAAGAATAGTAATAAATAAAGACTGAACAAATAAATATTCCTCCCACTATCATTTCACACCTGAAGGCTGGATTTCTGAAGGTAAATCTGAATCTAGTGATCTGGATCTGGATCAAATTCTTAAATCCATTGGGCTTAAGTTCCAGTGATATACAGTACATCTGTAATTCATCCTGGAATTGCATTTATATAGTTTATATATAAATTATATAACTATATAGTTTCTCTATAGAGGAACTCTTGGCAACATGGGTTACGGAGTGCCAGAGCCAATATTAGCAAAGAATAAGGATTATGGACACCAATTGCCGCAATTCAATTTTTACATCTCCCCATTGAATTCATAGTGATGGGCTTTCCAGAGTGATCCTATTCTTTGAATGGGGAACTGGCTTTCTTGTAACACCTGCTCTCTGATAGCCATATATCTCTTTTGACAGATTCAAGAGCTCTTTGGTTCCAGATGAAATTCAGCATAGTTTTTTTTAATAAATAATTTTAAAAGGAAGTGCTATTCAAGAAGGAAGGAATAAGGAGAAACCTATCTTCCAATATACAAGCTTTCATTTAAGATGCACAGCATCTTACCCATTATTTATCCCCTGACTACTCTAATTCACAAATGCTTGTTTTATATCTCCGACAATGTTCTGACAATGAAATACGTAAAATATAAAGTTACACAGATACTGCCAAAGACACAATATGCAGAGAATTCCCTCCACTTCTGATTTAAATAATGTTCATTGTATCCATAAACAGACAAAAATTTCCCTTTCTAGAATGAATGTGTATGTGTATATGTGTGCATGCTGTATATACATATATGCATGCACACACTATGTGTGTGTGTTTATATATTATACTCTCTCTGTGTAATGTATAATAACACACACACACATATATACATACATTAGCATATTATTTTTATAAATATATAAAAATAAATATAATATGCTGGTGTTTTCAGAAATGATTTCAGCATAATTTAGTTGAATATATATAGGATATGTAATAAAATGCATAAACTGTAGTTATAGTGATTTAATTTTGTGGCACTTCAAGATATTTAAGCCTGCTAACTCCGTATTCTCCTATTTATTCCTCTGAGCCTTTTGAAGTGAGATAGTTGGGTTAGAAGGATTGTGTGAATTCAACATTAGAATCACTTCTGATTCAGACTTTTACGATTGGTTTATAATTGATTTGTATATTATTGCCTGGACTCTACAAAATAGACTTTGTCAATGTGGGTGATCAAATGGTTATCATAAACATGGAACACAGCATTTATTAAATTTCAGCTTTTCAGGTTTCTAGCCCTTGTTAGCAAGATAGATGTGAACATGTCTGGACATATTCCAATCTACCATGCTAATAAGGGCTAGAAACTGTAGGAGGGTGGACTAGAAGACCTCCAAGTTCCCTTCCAACTCTGTTATTTTGGTGTCCCTAATGAAGGGAGCAGAGGTGGGTTGAGAATAGTCACAATGTCTTGACTGTTGTCAACTAAAGCAGAATAAATAACTCAGAAATAAACATTTATATGCAAAAGAGTTGAAATAATTTGCTGAAGTATTGTTTATCCATAAGGAGATTTAAAAAAATAAATAAACGTGAACACTTCCTTGTAAATACAGGAATGTACTTTCTTTTAAAACGAAGGACAGAAATTGCTATGGAATCAAACATTTGGCTTACCAATACATAACTTGGTCCTTGATGCGTTTGCCCATTGTGAAAAATGCTCAGCACATATTTAGATGGCTACCAAATTACAGTGAAATGTCAAAAGGTGATACTTGTTATTTCCCAGTGAGCCTTAAAAAGATTTGGAGACGTGACCCTGTTTTGCATCTCTCTTCCCCAAAAAATCAGGAATGTGGAAGTTTTATTGGATGAAGGCTGTAATCCCCTTGGAAATAGTCTAAATAAGGTGTGGTGATGATGATGGGCTGGGTAGTATGTGAGAGATGGATGGAATCAATATTTTTATTTTCTCTCTCTCTCTCTCTCCTTTTTTCTTGCTTTCATCTTGGTTACTAAAGGGAAGGTAGCAGTTCCTGAATTGATTACCTCCAGAAGGCTTCTAAAGCTACATTGAACTCCTGCTGGTTGCATTTCTGTGCTGTAAATGATCAAATGGGTGTTGTTCTCCCGTAGAGCATCAACACTCACCAGAAAATGTCAGGATCATTTCTCTCTCAGCTTACCACAGCCTTAAAGCAGTAAATGCCAACATTTACTGGGTTTTAAATGTTTATTGTAGGAAATATTCTTTGTGGGCTATTTCCTGAGCCAGGTTGGGGCTTTGATAGGTTTTTATCCCTACTTAATCATTAAATTCCCTAGATGACTTCTCTCAGCCTAATTTACAGAAGGGATGTTGCAGGGATGAAAGCAAAGGACCAGAAGAAAATGTATACATGGAGAAAGAATTGCACTTGTTAGCTTGAATTCCTGGAGGAAAGATAGCTCATATATGACTATAATCTCTCTCTCTGTCTCTCTCTTTCTCTCTCTCTGTCTCTCTCTTTCTCTCTCCCTCTCCCTCTTTCTCTCTTTCTCTCTCCCTCTTTCTCTCTCTCTTTCTCTCTCTCTTTCTTTCTCTCTCTCTGTCTCTCACTCCCTCTTTCTCTCTCTCTCTCCCTCTTTCTCTCTCTCTCTCTCTCTTTCTCTCTCCCTCCCTCCCTCCCTCCCCCCTCCCTCTCTCTCTCTGTGTAAAATATATATGCAGGAACCATACCCTAGATATGGAACATGTCATTTCTTTTCTAACAGACTAAATGTGAATAGGTAGCTAAAGCTGTAATATTATTCAAGAAATTGGGAATAAGGTTGAACGAACAACTCGGTGGCACCTGAATAAGACTGAATTGTTAATCATTCATATCAAGAACCTTTACATAGTCACCCAGAAGGTTCTTCCCCAGTCTCTTCAAACTTCAGATCTGCACTATATTACCCCTTGAGAGCCACCTATTTTATTTTATTATTTTATTTTTTTTGAAAATCTAGAGTTAGGACCCAGCTCTAACTATCCAAGTTGTGCTTAGAAAACAAGTGGTACTTTGCTCTCCCTAGTTACAAATCTACAGGGTTTTTTGTTTTTTTTGGTCCAATTGAGATACCTAAAGATTAGCTCAGGATATTGCATGCTTCTCAGGTGTGATCAAGAAGCAATACTCAGGGCCAGGGTGGTCAGATGAAGATGTGCAGCCAGCAGACAGAGCTATATTGAAATGTTGAGGTCAACAGGGCAGGGTGACAAATTCAGAAAAAACAAATACTTTATAAGGACCTACTCTTGTTTCCATCCCTATCAAGAAAGCTGAATTATGGGACTCGGGGATACACACAACGGGGAAAGCAAAACCTAACTCTTCTTTGGAAAGTCTGGGTTGAAGAGAAAGAGGGAAATAACCCACAAGGGAATGCAAGGTAGATGGATATTAATTACTGCCCACCCCTTCAATCCAAGAACTGTAGGGCTAAACATAAAATTCTTCTGAAGTTCCATGAAAAAGGGCTGGTCCCGTGACATTTGAGCTCAACCTTGATCTTGATCAACCAGTTCTGTTTCCTCCACCCCACCTATCACACCCCATTCTACCTCGCTTTTTAAAACAAGAGGGCCTTATAAGACGGTGTATGCTCACCTCGGCTGAGTCCGTCTGGTCCCCGAAGGATTCGGCATTCTTCTATCTGGCCAAATGGAGAAAACATCACTCTGATATCGTTCTCATTACACTTCTTCGAAACCATTCCTATGAACAATTTTCTGTCTTCCACAGCTAGAAGATTAAAATAATAATACTAATAATATCCACAACAGCAAAAGGCATCTTTCTCTCTCTCTCTCTCACTCACTCACACTCACTCACACTTTCCTCATCTGTGATCAATGCTTATTACCACATCAAAAGCAAGCGACAGAGTTGTGAGCGTGGCGCTGTCCCAGGGTGACAAGGCAGGTGGAAAACACTTCACACACACAACAACACTTCTCTGAATCACCTGCCTTTCTCTGGAGAGCGTTCCATAGTTTGCAGCTAGCACTTCTTTTGCTATTTGGGCGATTTATAGACTAGGAGGAGCAGTTAGCTTTTCTACCTCTCATTTCACTGTTGAAACAGAAAATCCATCTAACAATTAAGGCTAAAAGTTGGTGAGTAGGATCAGAGAGTGAGCCTATTCTAACCTAGCCACCACAAGAGCCTCAATGCCGCAGTGGTTAGAGTGCAGTATTGCAGGCTACTTCTGCTGATTGCCGGCTGCCTGCAATTTGGCAGTTTGATTCTCACCGGCTCAAGATTGACTCAGCCTTCCATCCTTCAGAGGTGGGTAAAATGAGGACCCAGATTGTTGGAGACAATAGGCTGACACTGTAAACCACTTAGAGAGGACTGTAAAGCACCGTGAAGTGGCATATAAGTCTAAGTGCTAGTGCTGTCTTGCCCCATCTTACCAACACATGTATGAAAGGGAAATTGGGAACAAAAGTGATGTCTGAATATTCAAAATGGAACAGGTTAATAGAATCTTAATGCAGCCTTTTTTAAAAAAACCTATAACGATCCAGCTATTCTTATCTCATGCAGACGTTGTTAGCAAGTATGCTCATTAGACCGGAGAAACACTTCAAGGAAGTGTTATATACAATTATTTCAGGGTAAATGAAATCCCAGCAGGTTTGCAATGCTGTGCTGGGAAAAAGAAAAGTGGGATTAGGTGGGGTTAAATTACTGCTAGATTATTTCACTTGATATAAAGAAGCCGAAAGGAAAAAGAAATAGAAATTTAAAAAACTAGGTCAAGGAGATAGCTCTATGCGTCCAGGCAAGCTTCAACAAATACACATTCAGAAACTTTGAATTTACAGAGCATGGAAATAAGCAAGGACCAAATCCATTGAATGTTTGTTACGATGCAGAATGTGTCTGGCAGCACCTCACTGACATGGGGCTTGGAAACTAAGTGGAACTTTGAAAGGAGATTCTTTGGTAACCTTGGCGACTTTAAGATGCTTGGACTTCAACTCCCAGAATCCCCCCCTGCTACCTGTATTTTGGCTTTCCATGTTTCTTAGATAGGGGAGGACGCACCTCACCTCTCCATTCCTGCCTTGCAAACAAACGAACAGAAAACCAACTGGGTTATCTTGGGATCTTTCATTTAAAATCAGGGCCTTCTGAAATAACCAGTGGTTCTTAACCTGGGCGATTTCGTTTTTCAGGGGGGCGATGGCACGAAAAGGGGCGACGTGGGGGTGAAGGAATGGAAGGGGGTCGATATGGGGGCAATGAAGCAAGAAGTTTTGGGGACACTTTTGAGACTTTTTTCATCCAGTGAACCACTGTATATCTGTCGTACAAAAACATCAGATCGCTCGCTATTTATTAGTGGATTGAACTGTGTTTTAAAATGTTCCTCCAGCTACCTTCAGTACAGAACGCCGTACATATGTGAATACGCATCGCTCATCTTCACGCGCGTTGCGCAGCAGCCTCTATCACTCTACCCATTAAATTTGTCGCTCTGATTTTTGTTGCTTTCCTTCTGTAAAAAATTTCTTTGTGTCTTTTTAACCCTTTTTGCATGAAGATATATTTTCCTAGAATCTTAATTCAGTTTCAGAGTTTTCGTCTTGAAATTCTTAATTCCTGCATTGTGATTTGTTCTTATGCCCTTTTTATATTTCTTTTTTGCGTCTTAAAATTCACTTGTAATTAAATCATTAAATGTTACTGTTTTTTTCGGGCATTTTATTTTCTTGCAATTGAATTTTGTTTTCGGTGGTCATTGCATTTAAGTGTCTTGAATAAATAAGATAATAATGAAATACATGTATCACGAAGTTTGGGAATAAAGTGATGGGTGGCATCAGAATTTTTCACACAGTTGAGATATGAGAAAAAGACTGGAAATAAATTATTTGCATCGATATGTCCGGATGCCAATTTTAAAGAAAACAAAAAATGTGTTTGCATAAATTGAAGAATTATTTCCCTGTGTTGTGATTGAGAGGTTTTGTTGGGGGAGGGGGGCAATGATAATTTCCTCAATGGCTCAAGGGGGCGATTCTTTCAAAAAGGTTAAGAACCACTGGAAAGAACTATCAGTAGTTTCCATTAATCAAAACGAGGAACACTAAATGGTCCACCATGCTGCGAGATCCTCATTGCCATCCAATCCAAAAGGATTACGGTTGTTAAGTGAATCATTGTGGCTGTTCAATAACATGGTTGTTAAGTGAATCTGGCTTCCTCCCCCCCTACTTCGCTCGTCAAAAGGTCGCAAAATGGGATTGCATGACCCTGGGACATCGCAACTTGTCATAAATACGAGCCAGTCGCTAAACGTCTGGATTTTGACTGCGTGTCCGTGGGGATGTTGCAATAAATCCCCTTTTTCAGCACTGTTGTAACTTCGAACGGTCAGTAAACAAGCTGTTTCAAGTCGAGGACTACCTGTGTAGCGACTTGTGGGCTTTGTTCTTCCAGATTGTGAGTTACTTGGATTGAGAGTTTCAATTAAGGCTGCTTGCCTGTTGTTCTCTGCCACTTATGGCGAGGAAAGCATATAGACTGTTTTCCAATTTCATTTTGAGAAGGCCAATATGGGGCTCAAGAGACCTGGCCAATGGCCTGAACGAGCTGCTAATATGCCGGAGACCACGTTCCACAATTTGGTACAAGAATATTTGGGCAACCTTTGCCTTCCAGATGTCAGCCGGTAAGCTCACATCAAAGCTGGGCTGCTGCCCATGATGCTTGACCTTTGGAGGATGAAAGGCTGCCCTGGATTCGAAAATGCGTTGCCAAGGCCATGTGCTGTGGCTCTTCAATAAATAAGTCAAAAAGAGAGATCCGAAGCTTGACCGCAAAGGGATAGGTGTCGGATTAAAAAAAAACAACCTAACAAAAACAAAAGTCTAGTAGCTGGACCTTCCCATGATAGATGGCTTCAAAAATTGTGGAAGGGTGACAACTGGTTGCATTTTGAGCAACTGTTACCATGGGTGATATGGCAACTCTTTGGCTCTTGTCATGGTTCCAGAAAAGAGAGGGAAATATTGTCTGTTGTTAATGAGCACATAGAAATTGTAGAGAAATAGAGCAATTGTTGCTCCACAGACTTTAGAATGGAATACAATGACAACGTTGAAAGGGGCCTTGGAGGTCTTCTAGTCCAACCCCCTGCTTAGGCAGGAAACTCTATACCATTTCAGTCCAATCTCTTCTGGAAAAACTTTCAGTGTTGTTGGAGCATTCACAACTTTTGGAGGCAAATTGTGTCCCACTGATTAGTTGTTTGAACTGTCAGGAAATGTCTCCCTCAGTTCTAGGTTGCTTCTATCCTTGTTTAGTTACAGCCTTTTATTTCTGCTAATGTGCAGGCTATTTTAGGAATGAAGGAGCTCTTTCCATTACATTTTATAGGAAAGGAGAAAGGGCTGAAAGTAAATATTCTTCTGGAAAAACATTTTGGCAAGAATATATACCGCAGCAGAGGATATGTTAGTCCTCAACTTACGATCAGAATTGAGCCCAAAATTTATGTTGCTAAGTGAAAAAATTGTTAAATGAATTTTGCCCCATTTTACGACTCTTCTTGCTACTGTTAAGTGAATAATTGCAGTTATTAAAACAGTAACATGGTTGTTAAGCCATGTTGTTAACCTGGGTTCCCCATTGACTTTGCTTGTCAGAAGGTCGCAAAAGGGGATCATATGATCCCAGGGCACTGCAATCGTCATAAATGTGAGTCAGCTGTCAAGCAACTGAATGTAAATCACGTGACTGTGGGGAATCCTGCAATGGTCATAAGTCACTTTTTTCAGTGCTGTTGTAACTTCAAATAAATCACTAAATGAACTGTTGTAAGTGAAGGACTACCTGTACTCTCTCTCCATTATTCACTCTCCATTATTATTCAAGCCATTTCTGAGGAAAATAACTTTTTATTGGCCCCCCGTAGTTACAGCTTGGTAAGTATGCTATTGCATTAAATAACACAGAGGTTTTGTGTGTGTAATTCAACTCACAACTCAGCTCTAATGTGTAAACAATTTGCCTAAAGAGAACAAGCCTCACGATAAATTCTATTAAAAGTGTATATATATACAGAAGGGGAGCAGGAAAAGTCAAGGAATAATCCACAATTCAGCTTCCTTCCTTTCTTTTTTTTAATTTCAGGCCTGTTTATATGTAAATCTGTTAAATAACCATTCATTTAGCTTTCCTTCCCCACCCTATGGAACAAAACAAAAAACAAAAACAACAACCCAAGGATTTTGTCCTTAATTTTCCAAACTGCTGTCGGTGGCAGATTCCCTCTTGGTCTGCTCAAGTTCCACCAGTAAACTGATAAATATGGCAAATTAACTAAAATGATTTCACAGTTTTTTAGCTGGAGGCTGATTTCATAGTAAATTAAACATCCAAAGAACTGACTCAGAGCTTTAAAAAAAAACACCTCAAAAAATTATACTTGGATCTGCTCGCTTGGTTTACAAAGGCAGCTGAAGGATCAATTGGAAACAGTTGGTAGTATTTGTGACTGCAAATACATCTTCTTGGGTCAATAAAAATGTTTCTTTTGTTTTCAGTGAAGGAAAACAACCAACCACTCCTTTTAGCTGACATCATGTCTTAAATTCTTCATATGTGAAGAGGGAGTCCCTGATTTTGAACTTAGCATTCCTGGGTCTGCAGGACACAGCAGTTAATCTCAAGGCGTCATTTCTTTAACCCTCCCTATTAATCTGGTATTAAGAACCATGATTTCTAAG